TTCATGAGAACTGGAAGCAAAGAAAAAGAAGCCTCTAAGTTACTGAAATAGCTATTTGTAAAATACTTGTCTTTACTAAGACCATATTGTTCATATTTTACACGCACTTCTGAAACAATTCTCTGTTTCATGGCTTTCAACCTATAATTAATAAGAGGAGATTGTTTTTCAACATTTTATGTTCTAGAAGATGAGCCAGGAAACTGAACATGGGGTATTTTATTTAATCATTGCAAATCGCCCTGAGTAGGTGTATTAGTTTTGTATTGCTGCAACTAATTACCTCAAATTTAGTGGCTTAAAATGATACAAATTTATTCTCTTACAGCTCTGTTTTCTCAAATCATTTTTAATGGACTAAATTTAAGGTATCAGCAGGCCTGTGTTGCTTTTGGAGGCTCTAGGAGAAAATCTTTTTCCCGGCCATTTCCAGTCTGTAGAGGTAGACTACATTCTTCAGCTTGTGGCCCCTTCCTCCAACTTAAAGGAGCATCCTCCAATGCAACTTCTGTCCTTCTACCTCCTCTGCCTTGCTCTGACCCTTCCTCCTCCTCCCACTTATCAGAACCCTGTAGTCACATTGGGACCACCTGGGTAATTCAGGGTAATCTGCTAATCTCAAGATCCTTAATTTGATCACAGCTGCAAAGTTCCTTTAACATGTAGAGTAACATATTCACATCTTTGAATCTTTGTGGGTGGTGTGTTATTCAGTCTAATAGATACTATTATGTTTATTTCACAGATGAGAAAAAAATGTAATAATTATTAACTCTACTATGTATATTGAGAAATAAAAATTTAGAGATGGTGAATAACACTCAAATTCACAAACTAAAAAGTGGGTACTAACATGCTAACATAGGTTTTTCTGACCCTAATGCTGTTTCCACTACACCACTCTGCCCAAAGGAGGAAAAAAGATGAAGGAAGGGCTCCCTCTTTAAGTGTAGATGTTTTATTTTCTTGATGAATTAAAAATATTTATTAAATATGTATTAAATGGCTGCTGTGTGTAAGACCCAATTCTAGGTTCTGGGAATAAATAAGAATCAGACCTGGTCAGTCTCTAGGTAAATCTATCTTTCCAAATATTTAAATGTCTATAAATTTTTTTATTTATATTTATTTATTTATTTACTTTTAATTACACACACATGTGGGGTAAACATTGATTTTCAATAATAGTGTACAATGTGTGGTGGTTAGATCACGATAGTGAGCTTATTTATCATTGCAATACACAATCATTCTTTGTGTCCATTGACCAATTCCTCATCAGCCCCACTCCCTCCCCCCCATCTTTTCCATCTCTAATTTTCTAAAAGTTCAGCGTGTTACTGTGATTGTTGCTTTTTTCTATCTTTCTCTCTGTCTGTCTTTATTGTTCATTTGTTTATTTATGGATTCAGCTCCCAGTTATGAGTGAGAACATGTGGTATTTCTCTTTATGTACCTGGCCAAATTCAACTACCTAACTGACATTTCCAGTTTCATGTTCAAAGGCTTGTCACACTTGCCATGTCTGGAACTGAATTCTTGATTTTCCTTTACAAATATGTTCATTCCTTGTCCTTTACCGCCTTATTAAATGGCACCACCACACCGTCCTCCCTCGCTACCCACAGTTAATCAGTAATCAAATGCCTTAAGTTTTGTTTTAAAACTAACGGAAGAATAGAAGGAAAACAATGGGACTATATCAATTCTATGTTAAAATACTGCAATAACTACCTACTGCACCTGATAATAAAATCCAAAACTTTTCATGCTACACTGGGTTACCATATACCATGTTCTGTTTAGGACTTTTCTGTGCCTGTTGTCTTGGCATAACTAGTAATAGTCTCCTTTTACTTCCCAAATTGTCCTATTTGGATAATAAATTACACGGTAACAATATCTGTAGGGCATTGTGTGATCTTTCCTCCGCCTAAATATTCTTTCCATAGCTGAAACCTTCTCCCTCAGGTCACATTGGTGTCTCCTCTTAAATCTCTCCCGTAATTAGTTTTCATCAGAATCTGAACTGTAGTATTTAATTCTATACTTGTTTCATTTGTTGAATGCCGGTTTAATCTGTTAGGGTATACAGAGAGAACCAGGCTTCTATCTATGTTGTTTCTTTCTACATACCTCAGTCAGCATAGTATCTGACACATGGTAGGTGCCCACAAATATTTGTTGAAGGATTAATGATTAAATAAGCTTGCCATGCAGTCATAGAGATACCTAAACACATAGTGTAACATTTAAGTAATAAAATTATATTCAAGA